CTCCGGGGGGGGGTCGGGGGGACTAGAGCCGGATCGGGGAGCTGATCCGCCCGGGTGAGCACTGCTGGTGAGGGAGGGTTAGAGCCGAGACAGGGAGCTGCCCCGCCCAGTGAGCGTTAGGCTGCAGGGATGTCTTGGGAAGGTGTTTGACACCTGGCAAGGCCCCCCCTGGCCTGGAGCACTGGGGGACACGGTTCCTCTCTTGGTGTGAGGTGCTGGGCCTGGTGTGGGGTGAGGAGGGTGAGGGGTTGCGTGCCTCTCTCCCCGCTCCTGGGAGCGCTTTCCTCAGCTGTTGTGAAGCCCCCGGTGGGAAAGCAGTATTGGTCTGAGGGGTCTAACAGCCTCCTGAACTCCTCAGGGCTGCAGGTACATGGGTAGCGAACAGGGTGGATAAAGACAAGGTACTCGGGGGTGTTGAGGCCCTTAGAGACTTGTCCAGGTTTTTAACTTTGGGCTGCCAAATTAGCATATTTGTAAGTAAATAAAGTGAGTGAGTTGCTTAAGTCCACTGCTCGTCCCTGAGATTTACTTTTTGCCTCTGCTGATGGTTGTAACCTTATTCCATGAAATGCTGAATTATGACAGCAGTTTGGATTCAGAGTTCATGAACATAGCAGAAGTTTACACTGCCCTTAAAATTCTAGACAGTGTTACTTTCCAAGTGTTTGCCTTATAACTATGCGGAGTGATTTTTTTTCAGAGGGACAAAAATCAACATACTCTTAGAAGAGGTTTGTGGGGGTTCCTTTAAGTGCTTGACATGTGTTTTAATGCAAGGTATACACGCCTGTGGGCTTTGTCATCGCTTTGAACTACAGAGATAAATTTAACGTGCTCAAATCGTGGTCAAAGTGTTTACAATGTTGGGATTATTGAAAGTACTTATATAGTTGGGGGAGGGAACAGGAATTCAATTTGTCTGTGTGGAATGCTATGTTTATATGACTTGGAGCTCTAGTCAGACCCAGGATACTCCAGAAGATTTTGATGTCCAGCCTCCTCTTTGTACTTTTATAAGACCTTTTAAATGTTTATATAGGCATGCCTACATCTGTGCCTGTATTTGAAGCTGACTGATTAGCCCATGAGAACTGGGTAACCGCTGTCCAGACAGAAATGGGACAACTAACAATAGCATTGTTCGAAACAGGGTGGCTCAGCACTATGAATGTGCTGATAAATCTCCAAATAAAAACAGTAGTTTGCATTTTAAAAAGATTTCTCTCCCATAATAGTTTTATTAAAATTAAGTGCATGCTTTTCTTGCTCTTGGAAGGTACTGCATTATATGCGGATGATTGCACATGAAGTAATCTCATTTTATTGAATTATTAATACATGTGCATGTACAAGTGAATACTGAGTTTTATGAAACACAGTGTTACCAGACATGCAAGGAACACACCAAGTGCAGAGAAGATGGAGCCAGTCATTATAGTGATTGTAATAACTGGAAGTTATTTTAAAATATGTTTTTTTGTCATAACGTAACTTTTTCCTTCCTTAAATAAATGTCTTTCTTAAGTATGCTTCGAAACTATTATCACTAATCAGCAACATGGAGATGGTGTAGCCAGCCTTCATAAGCAATGAACGTTGTTAAATATCATTTACGCTTGGATAACAGGATCGCATGTATGTGTGTTTGCCTGATATGATTAGGAAATTATTGTTGTTTATGCTGGTGTAGTTGTCATATGCTTCATGGTCATGAGCAGCAAATGGGCTTGAGCTTTTCTTTGGCTATAATTCACTGAAATACAGGTATTAGGAATCTGACCATGATGACCTCTTTACTTGCGAGCAGTCAGCGGAGTTATCATACAGAACTAAGGAAGACTCCCTTTGCTCATCGGTGTCCGAGCAAGCTGCTGGAGGTTATTCCATTTTGGCATAATGGGATCTGTTTTGTGTGACACTTCTGGTAAACACGCATTGCTGCAGTCGGTGTTGGTTATTCATGGTGAGGCCTAGAAAAGGAAGCAGGCTGATGCCTATGCTGTCTTTGGAGGCTAATGCAAGGAATTTACTAAAATGAAATTTAGGACTCATTGGAATTAGCTTTCCCATTATGTGTGTGTATTAACGTGTTTTATGTTGGTGTGGATGGAAAGGCAGTATTCTGTATTTTAGAAAGTGAATGCAGAGGACGTGCAGTGGTGAAGGTGCACTACTGAAATTGTGTTATTCCATATAAAGTTTTTTTTATGAACAACAAGCCTTTATTAACAACTGGGAGTGGGAGGAGGAGTTGGAAAAACATGGCTGTGTGCCTCAGACAAAAGATAAATGATAACATAATTTGATTTTTAATCGGAAGCAAAAGGAGAAAGGGAAATATGTCTTTGTTAAAGATTAATAAGGAAGTAGTTTTGAAACATACCTGAGCTTCCTTGTTTTTACTGTAAGATATGCTTTCTACAACATAGCAGTAAGTTGTACAGCTGAGCAGATAGGCTCATTTCTTCCAAAACTTGTTAGATGCCGAAGCTCGTAAAAGATACTAGTGTGACATGCCAGTAACCTTGTTTTTAACCTTCATTTCCATACCCACAGCATTCCTTTAGCAGCAGTATAAGCTTCTTGGGACTTTCCCACCAGATTTTGCAGTCAAGACCTGGAGGTGAGGACAGCTTGTTCCACATGCTTGTGCATTTGTTAACACCTTCGTTATGATCGACAACGAAAGGGCTGACTGTCCTAGTGAATGGTGCTATTCACTGATTTGCTGAATTATGCTTTTGTATTATGCAGCTCTAGTCATGTTTAGGGACTTCAGCTAAATAATTACATAGACAGGCAGACTAAGAATGGCTCCTTTGAGTGGAAGCAGATGATTTTGGCTTTAAAGGGTCCATCTCTTCCAGTTCTGTTCTCCAGTGATTTTTTTTTCCAATCACTTTGAATACCATGAGGTGTGGATGTGTCTTTGTATGGCCAGATAGGGTTGGGTGATCTACAGAGACAGCAGCCAGACTCCAGAGAGTAGAAAAGCAGTCAAAGTCAAAAATGTTTGGACATTTGGAAAATGCTTTATACTTCTCATTTACCTTTGTGTACTTTTTTGGCTGGATCAGCTCTTTATTTTAGTCCTTTTCTTGTAGTATCTGCATATCAGTTGGGTACTTCCTCCTCCTCCTCTGCTGCATCTTCTCTGTTACTCTTTCTTTTGGTTTAACAACTTCTCTCATAGATAAGAGGGAATTCTTTCAAATTCTTTCAGGCTGCAGCTTTAACATGACATTTTCAGTTATTACATCAGTTGAATTATGATTTCTGTGTAGTCCCTTATTCACCCATCTAACCTATTTTTTCTATGAGATTTTTGGAAAATAGATAATTTTTCTTATCGATCATGACCACATTTTCTGAAGTAGTAGTCAGTTAGGCATTCTCTGGGTTATCCTAGAAGTTTTGGCACAACACATTATTATTTATGAAGATATATCGACTTCTGTGTATGTACATTGCTTACTAATTGGGCTTATCATAAACTGTTTACAGGCCCTCAGTGCTACTTTCTGTAATTCTGTTGCTACTCCAGATGTATTAAATTTTAGTTAGGTTATTTGGATACCAAATTTTGCCAGCTGTTCAGTCAAAGGAAGGGGAGATTTTGGATCTTTGAGAAGCCATTCAGCCTGTAAATGATTTTGTTCTGCCCGTGGCCTAAGCGTGTTTGCATTCCTGTCAGTTATGAGTCAAACAACTTGCCTGTTTATTTGAGAAATGAAGCTTCTAAAATGCTAGAATGTTGACAGTCCTAAGGGAAACTTAAAACACACAGACAGGCTCTGAAAAGGAAAAATTTGTGTCGCTGTTTTAAACAATAGACTTCTTTCATGTGGAGGACCTAGATATCTGTTAATTAGCAGCTAGCCTTAGGGTTTTGGTGTCTGGCCCAATATGCTGAACTTTTAACCATCCACTAGCTGACATACCCTTCTATGTCTGAATTTGGATACTAGTAACGTAATGGATTTCATCTTTAAGGACTGCTTATGTAGT